TTCAGATCCCTGAATCAACAGAGTGATCCCACCATTGGACCTTTGAACAAGGCCCTTAACCCCAATTGCTCCAGGGACAGGCTGATCCTACTGTCTCCTCCACGCCAGTTTCATCACGTGGCCTCCTGGGATGCTTTTCCAGCTGTCCTGAAGGAGTTCCCACATATATGCTGAGCACTTGGTCACTTCCCCTTCACTCTCTGGTCAAACTCCAAAACCATTTCTGCTCTCTTTAGGTCAGTTGTCACCCTATCCCACTCCTTTGCAGGTGGCTTGGTGTGTCCAAACTTTTGACAGGTACTGTACTTCTCACCACAGGTATCTGCAGAATTCCAGCAGGAGGTGCTAATGAGTCTCATTCAGACCGATCCTGACGTCATCGATTACTTGCTACGCAGGAAACTCAGGTGGGCTGTGTCGTCACAGAGTGGATAGCCAGCCGATGTAAATAGCCAGCAGAAAGCTATCGCTGGCTTAGCACTGAGCTATCATCCATAGCTGACGCTGTCTACCAGCTGCTTATCCCGTACAGCAGTATTGGGGAACCTGATCCATGGAGGGCCGGTGTGGGTGTGGGTTTTTGGGATGACCTCACAATCAGCCAGTAATAAAGCAGTGGTTCTCAACTCCAGTCCTGGGGACCCATTGTTATTGGCTGATTGACAGGCCAGTCCAAAAACCTGTACCCACACTGGGCCTCCATTGATCAGGTTCCCCACCCCTGCTGTACTGGGTTGTGGGGGTGGCTTGGATCCTCCCCCAGAAAGTGCAGGGCAGAAAGGAGGGTATACCTTGGACCAAGTTTTATTTTAGATATGTTACTTTTTAAATCTACAAATTAATCTCTACAAATTAGAAAAATTCTAGATCCTGTATCGAAGAGGCATGATTGTCTTTGAAGCTCTCCCTGTTTGTGATAGCATGGCGCTTGTTCCCCAGCAGCAGTCAACTGACCACTGACACGGACGTGGAGTCCGACTCCAGAGAACAGGAGCCCAAGTCATCGCTGGAGGCAGCGGTGCCCTCCGGGGAAGGCCTCTTTCCGCTGGAGACTTCTCCTCTCTTCCCAGAGCTGCAGGGAGACGGTAGTCTGAGCAGTGAGGTGTTCTTCAACATGCTCTGCCTGGGCCCAAGCAGGAAGCGTAAGTAGTGGGAGGCGGACGGAGGTGGAGGATGGTGACTCCTGATAGGTTACAGGGAAGCCAGAAAATACATGGTTGCCAGGGGGAGTTATCATGTTGTCAGCCAGTGACTGGTTTGGTTACTTTAAATTGAACTGATTTAGATTTAACTGAACAGGATATAGTAATCCCATCCACTGCATGTTTAAAGCCGTGTCTTTCTCTGATCGCTGAGACCTAATGCAAACTTCTGTCTGGTCTTTCCTCCTAGAGTCCTCAGAGGATAGTGCAATGAAGACCATTGGACAGATGAGGCAGTTCCATTCCCATCATGACCTGCTGAGCTTGGGCGAGACGCCCAATCCAGTCACGGAAGAGGCATGCTGGGAAGGAACCAGCCATGCCAGCTTCAAGCAGGACAATTCCAGGGACAGTGTGTGGGTGAGGCAGGATGCAGCCACCCAGGGAGCGATCACTCAGCCTCTTAACTTTTGGGACTACTTCACTGGAAAGGTTACCGGCTCGGAGACCATCGTATGACCCTACCGGTGGTATGATTGGCTGTCTGAACATGGTTCACCTGCCCAGTGTACACACACACACACCAGCATCCTCATACATGCAGATCGTAAACCTAGACTGTAATATGAAGACATACATGCACATGCATGTGTACATATGTAGACACACAGTAAGAGACGCCTGACATCCCATCGGCCATTAACCAAATGAATGCTCTGTTACAAGACTGCTGCCCCCTGCTGGATGATTATGTCAGTTGCGGGCAGTAAAATGGTCACTGCACTGATAAAGGATACATTTGGCATGAGTGTTGGTAGCTTGTCCAAATACGGGGTGTGTTTTGTTGTTGTTCTGCTTACCCCCCCCCCCCCATACATGCTGAGTACAGACACTCACCTCTTACTTCAGAAAAAGCTATATGATTTCTTTCGAACTTACAGGGAGCTACCGGAATCCAAGCCAGTGATGCGTCACCTCAAACCCTTAAAGGGACACACACCTTCTGAATTATGATGCCTGGGTCTCATGTAAATTATACTGTAAACATGTATATTTCAGCATTTATGTTAAATAAATGTCCTTTTCAGTGTTTTAACTGGTGATTGATGAATATTCCCTCTGGCTGAATTATGCTATGCGGTAACAAGACAATGACGTGTTTTAACGGGGCATGCGTCCGGCCTAGTGAAAATGAAATGCAGTAAATAAACCTATACGGCACTTTAGCCCGCCCATAGTCTTGGCATTTGGACTTCTTCCTCAACCTCTGCAGTAACACATCTGTCACTGATAGCCTGTAACCGAATCCGTGGCTTTCTGGTCTTCCACCCTGAATCCAGACCTTGCTGCCGTCATTGAAGCAATTCAGTTCAGCTGGGCTTTTATGAAATGACAACAGTACTGCGAGTGCTAGAGAAATTACCTTCTCATTCTTACCGCTGGTCTTGGCCAACTTCTAATATTTGTTCAACTCCTGTTGTTTTTCAGCAATGTTTAACTTGTCCTCAGGAGGGAGCCATTTCCCAATAAAGTTCACCTAAGGGAGCCATAACAAGTTGTCTCTGAACAGTCTTAATGCTGCAAAGGAGAATTACAGACAGATGTCAGCCATCTCCTAGCTCTGTATGACAAGTACTGACTCAATGAAATGGTGAACTCTGAAGAAAGAGGTGGAAAGTCTGTAGAAACGGTTACTTAATCAGCCCCATTTCACTGTCAATAATTAACTTGGAGAGAGAGCTGATGTGTATTTTTATTCTGAGGGGGGAAGCATTTTAGCACCTTCTGTGCATGCGAGTTCCTCAGGGCTGTTTATCAAAGTGAAATATACCTTTTCGAGTACTTAGAATTTATTTTTAAAATATCTGCTTTGGGTCTCTAATGGCATTTTGCTCTACAGCACTATGTGGTCAGAATGCAGGTCGTTCATCAATGCCACGGCTGGAAAAGGCTGCGTAGATCCCAACAGGGAAGAGGGCCGAGTCGGCCGCCACCGTCTGTCTGTGATAATAAAATATGCTGCCAGGGAGTGCGGCTGCCCCAGGTGACGGCCTCTCGTAAACAAGCAACCTTCCTTGCAAAAAAAAAATAGCTGACACTGAGGTCCCCACGTTACCCATTAACATCTGGGTATCTGACATGCTTCACGTCAGCCGGCCCCCTCCCCCTCCCCTGCTTCAAAAACGGACGCCAAGGGAGCCAGCTGGGCAATAGCAGGAATCTAATAACAGACACACTTGGGAGGGGAACTTGGATTAAGCATTACGGACCTGTGAGGCGCTATACCCATTTCCTGCCACCGGGTGGCAGCTACGCCTGGCCCGCTTTCATGAGCCTGCAGGAGAAGGTGTGAGGTTTCGATCACGCTGGGTAACGACGGGCTTAAGGTGGAGGGTCATGAAGGACTGTCTGACGTGCTAAAACAGTCACAAAACATTACCTGGGTTAACCTCCCTGTTTAGGTGTTTTGTGTTTTAAGACCGCGATGTACCACAGAAAGACGCACACTGGTGGGTAGAAACTACAGTGTTTATTGGAGATGCTCTGGGTGCGCCTGTGCCCTTTAGCCCTGGCAAGGGAAACCCCGCGTATCGCCCACGTATTCTTCACCCCCCCCCCCCCCCCGATGAAAAGCATACTGCTAAGAATGTGGTATGTCTCACGGGTCGGGCGCCAACCCGGTCCACTCCAGAGGTTATTTTTAATGAACGCAGGGCGACCGCTTGGTTGCACCGGCACGATCCACTTCTGAATCCACTTGAGAGGGAGGGACTCGGCGGCTTTTGCGGACCGGATGCGGCCTTAAGCTGCACACAGCAACGGCGGACACGGGGTCTAATATTCACACACACGCACTCACTGACCGATTCACTGACACCTCACTGCAAAGGAGGAAGTTAATAATTAAATAGGAAAGCAAAGCATTACAAAGGACAACCTAAGAGTCACCATGTACGCAGTAGGTGCATGTAAATGTTATTCATTTTTAAGATATTAGACAGGGCTAGCATAACTTATTACAAATTCAGGAAAACAAACCTTACAAACAGCAGCAGCAGCATTCCATGAACTCAGGAAATACAACTCGGACAAACCTGGCTTGTGTATGTATGTGTGTCAGAATAAAGCAGAGCACCCCCTGGTGGCGGTGCATAGAAATCCAGGCGGTGGGAGCGGTAGGCGAAGAAAGCGGAACAGTCACCGCTGACCCGGACTGTTTCACATTCATGAAGCCCTGGAGCTTCTTCCAGATCTGCAAGCTTTCCCAATCCCCGCTGCACCCCTCCACCCCACCCCACCCACAGCAACACCACAAACCGCATGACTCCCAACCAAGAGTGCCGCTGCGAGTTTGGGGAGTCCGCAGCCATAGCAAAATGGGGGCACAAGACACATGGGACAGGGAGGCCCGGTAAGGCGGCACCCAGTGTGGCTGTCGCCACCCAGGCAGGGACAATATCAAGAGAGCATTAGACACCCCTTAGATGCCTTGGTTACCTTAGTAACAACAGACAAAAGCAGACATATGTGTGTAAGTATGCAAGCATGCATATCTGAATGCGTGCGCATATACATATGCACATACGAATGCCAGCATGTACATGGACGTCGTTCTCCTTAAATATAACCATATTACCGCAGATAACTCATAAAAGGTTTGCATCTCCATGGCCGCTAAGAGGTCAAGCTACCGCCGGGTTGCACCATTGCCCACAATAAGCATGGCTGTTCATTGAACCCCCCCCCCCCCTATTTCCAACCCCCCCCCCCCCCCCCCCCCCCCTATTTCCAACATGGCTACACAAGGCAGCTCTTTCCACATTCCCCCCCTCCCCCCAAGATGAACCGAGGCAACAATTAAGGAAAGCCACTACTCCATGTTGGGTCGGCCATCGTTTGCTTCTGCCTGAGGGTCCGCCGTTCGCTCCAGTGTGGTGTGCCACAAAAAAAAGAAAAAAAAACAAGAAAAAGCCTTAATGGAAGGGGTCTGTGCGACTCGAACGCCGCCCCGCCCGTGTGACAGTCCCCTCGGACATTCCCAGCGGCTCAGTCTCTGGACTGGTAGAAAAGAATGTATCCCGATTCCGAATTCTTGGAGATGTCTGACGTCAGGCCATAGAACTCTTCAATTGCCTGGGCGTCGATTTTCTACAAAGGGAAATGAAGCAGGATTAGTTCTTTGCATTACTCATCAGGAATACACTGGGCCAAAATGGGTCTTGCTTGTCCTTCAGTTCACATTGTAGGCAAATCTGTTTGGCACCTAAGCTACACCTACTATTTCAGCTTCAAGAACCAGCAAGCAGCATGTCAGAGTAATGTACAGGCTCATGGATGTGTTTGGTCTTCTACAGAATACCGCCAAGTTCTCCCAGGGCAGAGATATGAACCCAAAAGCCAGACTCTACAGATAAGGGTACGAGTTCTATAGCCAAGTAATGAGAGGCTATATTATAGCCAGGCTCGACAAGGGGGAAGAGCAAGATCCAGAACACAGGTATGAAATGGAGAGGCATGAGTTTTGGACAATCGGGATCTACAAGGACATCTGTCTAGATAAACAGAGCCCAGGCACATGCTTGCAGCAGCAGAACAGCAGCTTAAAGTAGGTCCACTACCGGTGAGACAAGTTCCTCCAGGACTCACCTCCACGATGTCGTCATCGAACAGCAGCCAGAAGCCGTGACTCTTCACAATGGTGATGTAGTGCCCTCGATTCGGCCCACTGCGAAGGGAGAAGATACCATGTTTTTTTCCCCCCCACCATTTTTTGTGCTTTCCTACGGAGATGACCGGATTCACAGACACCTGGAGGGGAGGGGGTCCAAACCCACCTGCCACAGTGCACCACCACGGCTACCAGGTCGTACATGCGGTCTGGGTTGGTGGCGTCGCCGGAGGTGTTGAAGAGACGGAGCTCCAGCGGGAAGACCACGCGGTAGGACAGCTTGGTGTAGCGGTGCAGCTGTTCCATGTATTTGAAGCGCTTCAGGTGCAAGGCCAAGATCATGGGCAGCTTCTTCACCCTCATCCTACACACACAGACACACACACACACACACACACACACACACACACACACACACTTAGTACGCATAGCAAACAGACAGGCTCACGGCTAGTTTGTGAAGCTTAACTACACATGGTGTGTAGTCAGTAGGTGATGGATCCGTTTAACCTCAGTTGCTCTGACCCTCATTCGTACATCACTTTGGGCAAAAGCATCTGATAAATACATTGGTCACATACTTTTACACTTAAACTTTAACATGCAAACTGATTCTTTTATTCTAAAGAATTTCCTCTCATTAAAACCTATTTATACAGCTGGGTGTTTCCCATATAAGGTTTGTACCTTGACCACAGGACACTACAGTAACGGTTAACTTTGAGCGGATAACCTTCCGGTCCGTCAGCATGCCCTTAACCACTAGCCCCCCCTTGACCCTTATGGCTGGCCGTATGCATCAGTCTGACAGAATAAGCGGTAAGGTTCAGGGCCGCCGGCACCGAAGCTCGGGAATCCCGCAGCTCTGTGTTCATACATATAGGCGCTCCGGAATCCCACCTGTGACCTGTTTCTATGGAAACAATCAGAGTGGGCCGCACGCACCTGCGGAGGTTGGCGGGCTTTGCAGTTCTGGTCTATATCTATCACCCTTCTCCTTCCTTCACCATCAGCAGCACACCCAGCAGCACGAGAGCCCCCCAGCAATTGAGCCTGCCACTTTTCATGTCACAAGTCGCATTCAGCCTCTCACCTCTTCTGCGCCTCCTGCTTGCTGCGACACTGCTCACAGTAGTACTTGTACTCGCTGCACAGCGTCTCTGTGTCGCTGAAGCCCCTGCAGGTGGTACACGCAAGTGAAGTGGTCACAGTCAGGTCCTCCTAGGCCATAGCAGTGGTAGATGTTAGCGCACTGGGCCTACCTGAGGCAGTGTGTGATGGACGTGTTCTGCTCCACATCAACTGACAGGTCCAGGAAATCCTCATCCTTGCTGCTGACCTGCAGGTGGTATTCATACTCAATACCCATTGGCTGAAATTCTATCCTATCATCCACCTTCCCCCATTACTCCCACAACCTTCAGCCTCCTGCCCCCGTCTGCCCATGACCTCACCGCCTCACAGTTGAGACAACGCGTCTCATTGGTCAGCGTGCCCTGAAAGATCTCGTGGACCCAGGTCTGCTGCGGCGCCTTATGGACCTCCTCCCCTTCTGTAGCGGTGGGCCCTGCCGGCCCGCCGCCATTCTGCACTAGCCGGCCATTCTGCTGCCGCTCCTGGCCCCGCTCTTCCTGCAGCAGGTCAGCGATGGTGTTCAGTAGATAGTTAAGGAATTCATGGGCGTCCTGCTGCATGTAGTTGTCGAAAAGCTCTGTGCAAGAAGACACCAGAGGAGGGAGTGTGGTGTAAGATCTCTGAATGCACAAGATGGGAAGTGAGCTGCCTCTATCCCCCGTCAGGCAAAGGGAGCTGCCTCTATCCCCCGTCAGGCAAAGGGAGCTGCCTCTATCCCCCGTCAGGCAAAGGGAGCTGCCTCTATCCCCCGTCACGCAAAGGGAGCTGCCTCTATCCCCCGTCACGCAAAGGGAGCTGCCTCTATCCCTGTCACGCAAAGGGAGCTGCCATTATCTCCCATCAAAACTATAGATATTAGGATTGTATCGCAATAGAATATGCGAGCATCACATCAGAGCCTCCCCCTCACCGTTCTCCTTCCTCAGCCTGGAGATGAACTTCTTGGGTGGGATCACGCCCACCTTCTTCTTCTGAGTAGCAATGCTGTTGAACAGGTCAGCCAGGCAAGTGAGCAGGCTCTCCTTCCGCCGGGGCTGGGCCTTGTAGGCCAGCACCTTCTCCCGGAACGGCCGGCAGAAATACAAGGCCTGCAGCACTGAATTGCAGTAACATGTGTTCCCAAACTGGACCAGGTGGAGGACAGATGGTGAGGTAAAGGTAAAAAAAAAAAAAAAGCAAAAAAACATCACTTATATTTGGAACTCTTTAGAAACAAGCAACAATGTACACAAGTCACTGTACAGAAAGCAAACAAAACTAATCTTGAGGTATGAATAAAACATTTAGAGGCATTACATCACTCCTCCTCCCCCCAAAGAGTCACCCCTACACTCTGTCTCCAGCTTGATTTAACGATGGACCTGATAACTGCCTATGTCTGCAAAGTTGCTGTTTCTATAGGGAATGACACAATGTGATCACATGACTGCGCTTGATTAAATGTGTCATACTCCTAGCATCTCACTTAATAATAAACCTCCTCATAATAGCTGCATTTTCCCACGCTGCTGCCTGCACTCCTGCATACAGCAGTATGGACAGAATGAGCAGAAAGGCAAGTGTGAATGGATGCAAAGGAGTGGGGAAACACTTACGTTGACCAGCCCAAAGTAGTGTTCATTCACAGGAAACTGTTCCGGTCCAATCTCTTTCTCCAGAGCAGAGGCATTGGCGCCCTGGAAGACGGAGCGCAGTCGTAGCTGTAAACACACCTGCATTGCCCACACGCTCGGAAACACAAACTGAGTCCCGATGACGAGATGCTGTTTAAGAGCGCTTTGGGCACGGATGAAGGCATGCTGCCTGATCTCATCTCCAAGCCAAGCCTCCTTCTACATCCTCAGGACCTGCAATTCGGTCAGCAAAAACCAGCGGCTCCAGAAAAATGCACGGCTATTGGTTTCTGAATGAGCTTTTGGTCTCTGCGTGAAACCGACACTGAGCATTTCATAGAAAGAGCTACAGTCAAGCTCCGTTATTACAGAGACATTATGTGCTCTGCTTAAATTTCGGGGGTTTGCAAGTGCTCTTTATCCGAACATAACCTGTGTTTGTTATCACACATCCGTCCATTATGAGTCATTTTTTTATTCAGCTGGGGCTGTGGTGATCTGGAGCTGGCTCCGGGAAACACAGCGTGGGACACAGGGTAAGCCCACAGCAGGACAGCAGTCCACCATAGGGCACCCGGTCGTAATAAGAACGACTCAGAGCCACAGAATTGCCATAATAATATGTCATTTGATTGCAGGGGGAAGCCAGACTGACTGGGGGGTGAACAAATCTAAACACCAGAGAACCTCGGTACAGAGGCGGGTTTCAAGATGCCAGCTGAATCAGCATATCGCACGTTACTGTAACATTTTCACCATTAATTACTTGGATACTGTGGTGACTCAGTGGGCAGCACTACAGCCTCAGGCTGCCGGTCACTTGCTCAGTGTGTATGGATGTTCTCCCTGTTTTTGCTTTCCTCCCACAAGTTTAAGTGGATTAGCGTCCCTAAACTGCTCGTAGTGTGTGGTTGTGTGCCCAGCAACAGACCGACATCACAAACAGGGCACCCCTTGCATGTGCTCACGGTGACGCTCTACTGGATAAACAATGTAAAAATACATGAATGGAAGTCCAGCAATTTGCTCGAGGTCGTCAACAAAATTATTCGGGGGGGGGGGGGGGGGGGGGATTAAACCCATCTTTCCTAATGACCACGCCACCTGCTGTCAGGTGTCAGTTGGCTTTGTCCTTTTTTGCTACCAGTAATACTGAAAAAGTGGTTGATGAGGCCAACCACAAATTTGATGACTCAGATGGCTTTTAAACTATGACATTACAAATTGCCCAGCAGGTACTCCCATGAACAAACCGGTTTAGTTGTCATGTTGATAGGGGTGACCGGGGTCACTCTCTGACGCCCTCTAGGGTTCATTTCAATCAGCGGCTAACAAGCAGCCGGGACGTGCCAAACATCCAGGCACGTGATTACCATGTTTTCAATGCATTTTTACGCTTTAAATCACGCTGACGCATTCGAATATCCTTCCCTTCAATAACAAATACAACATTAATAACAGACAATGCAAATACGCGTTTGTATGTCCTGCTTTTTAATCACAACATAACCAATCCGACCGATGCTGTATATAAAATACAAGTAACAGCAGTTTTAAGGGCATGCTATTAAAGAGAAGTGCGTATTGCAACCATTTGTCAAACTGAACGGGGGCTGTATTAATTCTGCCAACCCCCGTCCACAATAATCTAGGCAGTTACACCGGCTGTGTGCTTACACTTATTTACCGCGCAATCGTCGTGGCCGGAATAATGCACAACACTTCCAGAGCGACTGCCATGAATCCTGGAAGTCACCTAACCGCGGCTAAAGCTAGCAGGGCGACGCGGCGACGGCCACCGGCGCTGCCGTAAATCCCGAGTCAGACTCCATTACTGCGTTACCTGCACACGTCCAGGTTGGGACGTAAATAATGCCTGCGTGTCAGATACGATCGCGTCGCCCACTAAAAGTAACCCTTGATCAACTGCTGTTAGCCCAGCCAGCTAAAAACAGTGCTAATAACACAGCAGTGGCTAAAAGATGACCCCCCCCCCCTGCCTCACGCACACGTCTACCGGATCTGATTAGATTACTGCTGGCAAATGTAGCAACCACGAAAGACCCAGAAAAACCTGTACAGATATAATTGCAGCCAGCGGCGAACTTAAAATCGTAGGGCTGCCTAAATGGAGATCACCAAAACAGCAGCTGCAATACGAGAGCCAGGCATGGAGGCAAGCTGTTTAGAGCAGATGATAGGACGGCACCGAGTAACCGGAGGAGGATCCGCCGAAGCTAGTCAGACGAGGAAACATGTCCACCTACCATCGTACAAATCGAGGCGATCTTTCGGACTGTCATCAGTATTTCCATCCGTCTGCCGCCATATTGGACCAAACCTCAACTTTAAACGGTGACAGCCGCGGAGGCTTGGGTTCCGGGGAGGGGGGGAAGGCTTGAGCCCGATCAAAGCCGAGCTCCGGGAGGGAGTGTCGTGGCGGCAGCCTTCCGACGCGACCCGCAGCGCGCAGCACGGGCCCTTCCTGTGGCCCCGCCCATTGGTGCGCGAAAACGAGGCTGCCGGCACAGAGCGCGCCGGCCGACTTTCGCAGCCTGTGAGCGCGTCGCGTGAAGGCGGTACGCGGGGCTGGCGGTGGCGCGAGAATGAGGCTGCCGGCGCTAGGCTCGGTGCCGTGGTAGCCGTGCATAACATAACCCCCTTAAATAACCCTGTTATTTAACGGGCATCAACTGAGTTTGGAAAAAAATCTATGCTAGGGTTGTGTTAGTTACTTGCAGAAGCATTTGTTATGAGAACAAAGGTACGCCAAAATATCGACCTAATATTTTAATAATTACTTCACGATATGTCTTTGAATTGTATTTGACACAGTCACGCACACATAGATATATACTGACCATTTTAAGAGCAACTGCTTAGTCTCAAACGCAAATGAAATTACTATGAACTTATTTTTTTATCTCAGCTTTACTCTGTGTATCTTAATAAAGACTGTCTTAGTTTTCTAGTGTCTATCTTTGTCATTAAAAAAAACACAAAAAGAATTTGACGAAACCAAATTTTTAAAGTATTATGGGCTTCTTATTTGTGGTAGTATAAAGCAAACTTTGCAAAATGAAACTACATATTGATATAAATACTTTAACAGTGTAGTTATGTCCGTGATAGGCATACGTCACTGGATGGTCATTATGAAACGGTTGACAAACGTGGTTCACTAGAAACACCATTAACGAAACAGACCTGCTCACAAAGGAAATATTATATTGCATTCTTAAATGTGATATCAACGTTTTTGCCTAATTAAGCGCCTCAAAATCTGAGTATCACAATGATCTGTGGGAAATAATACAGCCGAATGCAGGCTAAAGAAAACAGCAAATTGGCGATCTCTGAGTGAAAGTATGGGGTCGTTTGTCATCCCTTGCTGGTTTATCCACGCCCCTCACACTCATGATCTTGTGTTTCTCTCCCTTACTAAGTACTGTCGTCGTTTTTGTGGCAAGCAGTGCGATCCGCTTCTTTTTTTTTAAAGTGCTCCTGCTTTTATAGATCATTTAGAGTCAGCGTTTCCCCTTGACCAGACATATATATTAAACTACTTCAGGTGCTTGGGAACCGATTGAAGGATTTACGTGACGCGTTTTGGTTGTAGACCTTCTGGCTGTCAGCTGATCGTTTCCATGCCATCGACGAGAAAAAAGTGCTTGTGGACCACATTGCTACTTGGATTATTATGGCCGAAATACAGAAGTCGCCCGGATCGTGTTGTTATGTGCGCGGTGTGGAGTTTGCTGGCCAATTATGAAGACTAGATGAAGAATAAAACTTGGCTAAATGCGTCTTCTTGCCGACCACCAAAGAACAATGAACAGTGGTTCTAGCAACTTTCTGCTAGTTCCTATACCGGAGCATCCCGTCCCAGACTGCGTGCCCAACAAAAACGTTAAGATTGTTGTTCTGGGCGCAAGCAACGTCGGGAAAACAGGTAATCCCTGCCTTAATTTTGACTGCCTTCCAAAAATGCTTTCAGTTTTTGTGAGCTAAAGGATACGCTCCAAATTTATGGTATATAGATTAGAGAGAATATTTACAGCTTTATCAATCTAAGGTTGCGCAATATGGCAGTGCAGTTTAGTTTTTTTTTTTTTTTTTTTTAAATGAGAATCTTCATCTATTATTTTACCAGATGTACTGGAATATCCAAGATGTACTATATAATTTTATTTTAAAACTGCTTTAAGAACCGCAAACAAGGTTAACGATCTTGTGCTGTGTAAGTGCCAATAGTAACTCACGAGGCGAAAATGGTATAGATATAAACATGTCATGTGCATTTAGCTATTTTGAAGTAACAGGATAGTTTAATATATTCCACTGAAGACCAAAAGTCATTGTGTAAGCATGGACGCCAGGGGGCGTCGGGAGGGCGGTAAGTGCATGGGCCTTTGTCATGGTTTGGGTCAATATTTAATGTTGCTCCCTAAGTAGACTTAGACTTTTTTACACATGCAAGTATGTAGATGTACACAGTGGCTATTTATTTGTTTGTTTTTTTGTGATTTTTCAGCTTTAATCGTGAGGTTTCTTACCAAACGATTCATTGGAGATTATGAAGCTAATACCGGCAAGTATATTTTAAATTGCTTTTGATTTATTCAATGCAATATAACGCCTAAAAGCATCTTATTTTAGTTTAAGTGATTTTTAAAAAGTACCTTATATGTATCTCAGGGGCTCTGTATTCAAGGAAGATCAGTCTGGATGGAGAGGTAGTTTCTTTGCAAGTTCAAGACACCCCGTGTGTTGCTTTGCAGGTAAGAATTTCACAGCCACAATCTCTTGAATCCCGTCTCTGCTACAGTCTTCAGCTCGGACAAAGTTAAGTTATTGTTTCCTATCTGCTTCTATCATCACTAAGTTCTAAATGCTCCAGGGATTTTCCTCAAATTATCTTTAAAAATAGCAGCAGTGACAACGATCAGACTTTCATCACGAGTCTGGCCTGAAAACACAGCCCACAGAGAGCACGTAGCCAGAGAGATAAGGAGGGCCTTGGAGATGGTCAGAGGGGGTTAAAGCTTTGGATTCTTCCTGTATTTCACACAAGGATTCCTCTCTCTGTTGTACAGCACTGTACCCAAGGTCTTGGCTGCTACCCGCAGCTTCCTGTCTCAGTGCCCAACTACTGGGATTATTCTTATGTGTTGGGCTGGTGATCCTGTGCTGGGCTTGTTTTTGATGTAGTATTGGTTGATTGTTCTGCAGTCTGTTAGTGGTAGTAACCCTATCTTGGTACAGCAGTACCTAAATATAAATCTATATAATACAATCTGCAATAGTTTTGGTCAATTTTCTTGTTCATTTCTTTGCCTAAATAAGACCAGTACCAAGGAAAACAAGCTAGTCACCCCTTTTTACCCTGTGACCTTGGATAAAAGGTTAGAAGATGGAGTCCATCCATCCATGCATGGTTTTTTAGTACTGTAATAGTTTAATGACCATATTGAAACAGGATTACTCAACCACATTAATGGGGAGTGTGTTCAGATTCCTATCAGCCCTTAGGGGAAAAAAATGGTGTTAAGAAAGGAATAATTGTTTGATTTTTTTTTTTTTTTATATAAATGATTTTTTCAGTATTTTTTCATTAACGCGAAGAGATCCCAGCAGATAAATGATTAGAAGAGTTTTCTATTTTAAGCATTGAGGTTCCATGTTTGGTCTTAAATAATACAGTGACAGAATGCTGGGACTCTACACATCAGTGTAATTCAATAGAAACATTCTAATCAGTCGATAATTGCACATTTCATTGATGAATATCAGGGGTCAAAGGTAACTGCATTGTAAAACATGCAAACAACTTCAGTCATAGACTGAGTGACTTTAGTTTTCAGATCATTTTGGGTTCTTTATGGATGTGCTCTTTGAGGTCTTGGGTAGCTCTCTGGTTGGTATAAAGGAGGGTCTTTGTTTGCCCACCTCCTACAGGACGATGGTGAAGGCCTGCTTTGCCAGGAGCAGATTAATCGCTCGATCTACTGGGCGGATGGCTACGTGATGGTGTTCTCCATCACCGACCCCAGGAGCTTCCGCACCGTCTTGCCCCTGTATCAACACGTCCGGCGCATTCACCCCAGCGCCAGCATCCCCATCATCCTGGTGGGCAACAAGAGCGACCTGCTGCGAGCGCGCCAGGTGCCAGCTGACCAGGGGGAGGCTCTGGCAGCTCAGCTGGGCGGGGTGTACTTCGAGGCCTCAGCCCGGGAGAGCCATGAGGGAGTGCAGGCCGCTTTCCTCCACCTATGCCAGGAGGTCAGCCGGGCGCTGGGGGGGACCAACGGCGAGAAAAGGAAGGGTGGGCTCCACCTGGCCAGACCCAAGTCTCCGAACATGCAGGAGCTGAAAAGGCGATTCCGGCAAGTTCTCTCCTCGAGAGTCAAGTCTGCCACCACCCTATGATATTTCTTCCAGAAAACAAGAGGGCGCTCTCGAACGAGAACAAGATTCATATCCGAGCCTGAGTGGGCCGTTACGGAGGTGATGAGAAGGACTCATCAACAGACTAATTGGATGTTCATTCAAACCAGGACAGCTTGTTTGTCTGAACAGCAGAACAGCCCAGCCTTGTAATACGGACAGTTTAACTTTGCTGTCAGACAAGCAGGCTCCAAACTTCCAGCTGAGTCTTGGCTGGTGATAAGGGCTCAGTGAGATTTTTCTGTTGTCAAAAGGCATTTACCAGGGAAATAAAACATAAATCTGCTTAGAAAATCATTTATTTTACAATGTTTTTTTTTTTCCCCTGTAACCATGCACCCACCCTTTCACGGCATAATGCCACACACTACAGCTTGACCAGATGATGCCCTCTTCCCATAACGACAGAACTGCCAGTTTCATGCTCAGCCTCGATAATGTGCCACTCATTGCAATCTCCTAGGTTGATAGCAAAACCTTTGTGAAGGAAAACCCACGTAAATGCATCCCTACATCATTAATCAATGTTCTGAGCCCACCTTTTCCCAATGGGGAGCGTGAAGGCCTGCAGTTCATTCAGTCATGACTGTGATAGTTTGGCAGTGAGCCTTAACTATGACCTGCGAGGGCTGTGTTATTGTTTATTTGTGTATTAGTATATTTGACAAGGCCAATGCACATTCACAACATTACTTTAAATATGCCAGAGTCAGCCAATCAGCTAGTTTTAATCAGTAATCCCTGGGTTCTTAAGAGAAGAGCATATCCATCCATCCACATCCATCCATCCATTTTCTGCTGCTTATTTGGGTCTGGGTCTTGTCTTAAAAGAAGAGCACATGTAAAGATAGAATGTTTTTGACTACAGTATAATACAAAAAAGTCCTCATATCCCATTCATGTGCCTCATATTCTGCTCAGACATGTGTATTTGTAACCCAGTAAACAGTAAGACAGCAGCCACTTGATCTATCTGTAGCAGCCCAGTTTCCAGCCTCCCAAAATGAGCTCTAACCATCTTTTAATAGCTTAACTTGTAATGCGGATGCTGAAGGTTCCAGCCCCCAGTGGGTTTTCCCATGACCCTGTGCTACGTGCTAAAACTCCAAGAAGGTCAGGGGTCAATGTGCTGAGCGCGTTCCTGCAATAGAATGGCCATTCCCAGCAGCAGAGCATACGCCCCCCTCCGCCCAGCCCCCTCCGTCTGTGTCAGCCGCTGAGCAAACAGCAAGTTTTACTGCTTATGCTTGAGAAGAGTAAAGATCACAGTCTGTGCACTCCCTCTGCTTTCTGTTGGCCTCACATCACCCCCCCCCCCAACGTGTGATTCATCACTCAGGCACCGAAAAAGACGTTTCCCCTTTAAATTAGCCGGAAATGTTTCTCCAGAATAAGCAGATGCGGCCAGAGGAATATCGTGTCGCCTTGATGGTGGGAGGGCAAAGGGATGAGTCAGGCTGTCTGCACTGTGATCAGTGGGAGGCTGAGCTGCCTTCTCTGTGGTCCTTGACCTCTCTTTCACTCCGGAGTTGACATCGCCTTGCAAAGTCTAACACAGCACAGCCTAGACGGATTCCACAATTCAAACTGGACCAGCACGGAATCCAGCTTTACTCTGTCCACAGCAGCACAGCACAAGCTCCTGCAGGAATGTTTGCATGTTTATATTTTTAATAGTGTTCTGACTTCACTGCCATTTAGAATCCTAATTAAATTCCAAGAAGACTGAAATGCCCATTACTGTAAATAGATGCACAAGGACTGAACATTTTCTTTCACGGTTTTTTGGCAATATTTTAAAGAAAATAGCAACTAAAAATCAGGGAGCTGCGAGGGAGCAAAGACATGGACCGGCTGTGGGTCCCTGAGGACCAGATTGGGAAACACTGGCCAAGGATATGGGAGCTCCAGGTGGGGGGGAAAATGGCTTCCTTTGGTCCAATGGTGCTTGACAGGAGGTGCCTCCCTGACAAGTGGGGGAAACGAGGGAGGAAAGTAGGGGAGCAGAACACTGCAAAGACCCCTGCTGGGGTGACCGGCGGTGGGGCGAAACCGGCTCAGTGAAGATGCAAATACTATTTTCTATGGTGAGAAACACTTTTCCTAGCCCCTCTTTTGCAGATTGGCAGGAAGTGTGGATGCGTTTAGACCTATGTGAGGGGAGAGCGAGGGAACCATGAGCACACAGCTGGCTTCCATTAAGACTTCTGGTCTGGGATCAAATCTGTAAACCAACCATCTCCTTTGGCCAATGGCCATAGTTCCAGGCAGATTAATTTCACTCTCTACACTAGTGACTCGTGAATCTGTCCCAGTAGACGCTGAGCCCCACTTGGGCCGCTGGATCATAATCATTTCGAGCGTGAGCCTAGCGCCGTCACAGCCTCACCATGGATGGACCCTGCTTTCCAAACCCCCTAGACTTTTGTGGTCTAAAATCCAGCCTTCGGAATCTCAGGAAATTCAACCCATTCTGGCATTGTTCTATAGAACATTTCCCCAGGGCAATGAGGTAGGCCTGCTTGTGCTTATCAGAGGCTAATTTAGGAAGCTTCATCAATGCTCTTGGGTGATGTGTTTCTATTTCAGACTCCAGCAGTCTCCTTACCCATGGTGCCCATCACCGCCTATGTGTCACCATGTGCAAATTCCAACTCTGTTGCACTTTGGGAAATATATTAATCGGTGAGACGGCCCATGCTGTATCCATCACTGATAAAACAGTCCTTATGAGCTTAATCTGTCCCTTTGTTGCCTGGTTTCCAAAATGCCATGCACAGGTCACCTGTTAATGGACAGTTTAGCAAAATGAAAATACTGAAAAAATGCTTCACACCCTTACAAAAGTAAATAAAGATATTAAGTTTCCACTCACAGGAAGCTGGCATTTAATCTGTGCCAAATATGTGCTGAATGAAACAATTATCGATCCGCAATGATGTCAAAGTTATCAGAAAATGAATTCCAAAATGTAACAATGCTCCCCTCCTCTTCCTGAAATATGGTTACACCACTGGCGCAGACCAATTCTGTATTCATTGGGGCATTTGTTGCCTTTTTTTCTCTCCATGTCAGTAAGGGGGGAGGGGGCCCAGTGTTTATTGAAAATCCAGCCTGGAGCATTTCCTGTGTGCATGACGAGTACTGGCTCTTTCACAGGGGACTTCCTGGTTGCCAGATTTTGTTCCTTGTTTTTTTCCAAACTGACGAACAAGACGGAAGAGGGGAATTCAAACTGGGTACGTCCCCACGAGCCTGGGTGTGACAGCTTGCATGCATGTGTTTGTGTCCATGTAGGGACTGCGTCTATCTGTGTTTGTATCTATGCTTGGGTCCAGTGCCTTATCCTCCAGCACTGCAACGTTGCACTGATCATCTGACATCATGAACTGATATGAGAAGCTCATTCTTCCTGAAGGCTGTGAACTAGCACACTTTCTGGGTAGAAGGTCACTTTGGTTTTCAACTCCAACCATAGTCACTTCTAGATATATCCTGAGGTCTTGCCTTGAGGAAATCTACTCTCTGTGTAAAATCACCAGGAGACCAGTATATTCTGAAATGGGCTTCTCCCTATCCTCTTGTCTAGACCAATGGGTTTGAACGGGTGATGATCAAGATTTCCAAATCTAAGCTTCATGAATCACTAATGGTATTTTTTGAGCACAGGTTTGCTTTTGGGCATGCTTTGAGCCATTTTTTAAACAGACAGCACCATCTAGTGGGGTCAGAAAATAAAGCAAATGGTTCAAGAAGCGTCATTTTGGCCATCACTAGTCAAAATTATAATCCACTGTAAATAATGTCAGAAATGTCCCCCTCGTCTGTCAGATTGAAAAATAACCCCCAGCAGAAAAAATTGCTCTAGTCTATCTTCACCTGGGGAGTCCCTGGTTCACAGTTAGTAATTCATGACAATAGCTAATAAATATTTTTTAAAATGGTCTTCTTTTTCAAATCGAATTCTTATTGAATCTTTCAGTCATTTTAGAAGATGCAGTGGTGCAAAAAAATTGTGCTCCGTTATGTAGAGTGTCTGCGGGCTTTTGTGTATGAGGAGGTGTGACATCTGGCTCTATGTGATTTGGCGAGACCTGTCGTCCTTACACTCCCTACTGCTTGTCGTCTACCCGGTGGGGCACCTTCTTTGGTGTTGATGCACACTGCCCTCCCCAGCACAATTAAATGATAATCTGATAAGCTGTCATCCACGTGTCCAGCATCCAGGGTGCCACTAGAGATTCTGGACCCCATGAAAGCATAACCAACTATGTTCTGAATTTTTTAGGGCTCCTGTTACTCAGGGGCCCTTGAAATCATCCCCCCGCCCCTTTACCGCGCCCCTGCCTAGCATGCCAATTCCGATTGCACATCACGCTGGGAATTATTTTGTTCCGGGGCACCTAATTAACGTAAAGGACGTTTTGTTCATTTTTTTAAGAGTAACAGAGAGGTTTGATAATCAGCGCGCCCTTCCAATAAATTCTTCTTTTTGTGCTCAAAAAATGTGTTAATCAGTAAAACTGCTATGGTAAACTCGTCAGGGGAAACGAGTGAACAATCTGTTTCCAATCGTCAGGTTGAGCCCGTCGGTTGTGCTGTCAGCCAAAAGGAAGCGAGCGCGTTTTTATTTTTAAATAGACGGGAAGGATAGTGTTGCGCTGCCCCCTAGCGCCCGTCCAAGAAATTAAAGCGCCGCCTTGAATTCATCGGCGGCTGAAACGAGGCAAGATTATAGATAGCAGACTTTATTGCTGGTGTACTTTACCTGCTCATATTACAAGTCCAGCAGCAGCTCACTGCATTGCTTCCGTCAGCTTTTCCCGGAATGAAGTTGTTAAATGTACATCAGACTGCTGTGTTCAGTATTTCATAACGAGATGTTGCAGAAGTCAGGGGACACGAAATACGCAAGATGTAATGTCCGGGGGTGTGTGTATACAGTATATATAGTGTAAACGCATCTGTGATTGAAGATTTTGCAGCTCCCTCTCGTGTCGGGCGGGGATAAGACCTTACACAGCTACCTACGTCTGGAAAAAGTTATTACAGTTTGTAGGTTTTCAGCCTTGAGCAAATCGTGCTTTTTGTGTGTGGCAACCTAGGCTGACCCATACCGGCACCACCATGTAAATACACCAGGCCAGGACCAATATTTATTAAGTTTTCACATAGGTGCAATCAAGCAGTGCAATTTAAAGATTCGTGTGAGCTGCCTTTGCATGGCCAGTAATGCAGATGGGATTTAATAATATAATCTTCAGGTCAACCGTTCCAGGTCGGTGGCACAGTCATACGGTTGTTACAGGGCGGCTTTGAGGGGATTACAAGGCGCAGTCGGACCCGCATTCACCAAGTAAATGGCCGGCAGTCTTTGCAGGAATAACATCGGCTACGGTTTTGTAGCGTTGCGGTATGTGTCAGCATCGCCAGGCGCTCCTAATAGCCAGCACTTCTCTAAATATCGTGTTAGAGTGGAATATTCGCTACTCTCACGATATAGTGAAAACTGGTGGATCATTGAATAAAGGTAATGAGTTTCATTCTTTATGCACTGCTTCAATAGTTAAACTATCTTACCATTGCAAGAAATGTACATTTAGATGATCTTGTTGCCGTTGCAAGTATATCGCCTATAGTATACAAATATCTTACAAATACGAATACGCACAATTGAATTAAAATTGATGTCCAGACTTGTTTTTTTTTTTTTTGTTTTTAAATGCGTCCTTATTCCAACACAGATTTCTGGGCACCTAATTTACACTGAGGTTTCCATGTAACATCCGACGATTGTGAAATAAAGCGTCATAGTTTATGGGAAACCTAAATATTCTTTAGCTCCCTGCTCCCCTGCCCCTGACCCCATTCTACAGGAACCGAGGGCCACTGGGGAGAGCTCGGTTTCCGGGTGGCGGTGACCCATGCGAGACTGTGGGCGTGAGTCAGGCGGTGCTGTGCCATGCTGCCGCAGCCCTGCGCATTCCGCAGTTTTCTCGGGATTTGGACCGGGACAGAGCGGATAGCTATCAGTGCCAAGGGGCCGGCGCCGCCCCGCCCTCGCCGGCTAGCGTGTGCGAATCAGCTTTTCTTGCTCCTCCTGACTACGCTCTATCTCCCTGAGTGCTCCTCTGCAGGCCTTTTCAGGGTAGGTGTTCTGGGGCCCTGGTTGTGTGACCCCATGTATGCCAAAGCACAGCCCGGCTTGGCGGCCCGGTTAGCCGCGGAGAGGATCCGTGCCGACACCTCCCTGTCTCTGTCTGTCACCTTGGAGCCCGTCATTCTGGAGGAGGACTGCCAGACGGCACGGGCCCTGAGCAGCTTTCTGGCTTACGGCTCCTGGGTGGCCGCCTTCGTGGGCCCCTCGAACCCTGGCTACTGCGAGACAGCATCCCTGCTGGGTCACAGCTGGAACAAGGCCATGTTCTCCTGGGCCTGCGTTGGACCCGAGCCGGACGCCCAGGGCCGCCACCCCACCCTGGTCCGGACGCTGCCCTCGGCGGTAGCCGTGCTGCTTGGCTTCCTGCGGCACTTTCGTTGGGCGCATGTAGCCGTCCTGTCGTCAGTAGAGGAAGGCTGGGCGGAGACGGCCATCCAGCTGGCCGGGGCGATACGTGGCCACGGGCTTCCAGTGCGGATGGTCTCCTCTGTGGGCAGTGACCCCACCAGCATGCGCCGTGCCCTGACTGAGGTCAGGAGAGCAGAGGGTCTGCGTGGTGAGTGCAGTGTGGTGAGCACCGCTTTTGCCACGTTGACAAGATCCATTCACCTTACAAACCTGACCTTTAGTATAATGAAACTGCTTGAAACAACTAATAATCACTCCTCATCTTGAAAGAATTGCTATAGCTCAAGAAGTAGTGCATTGTATTAACAAGGGCATGGGTTCAAATCCCTGTGAGTATCTATATATTGTGTATTTCCCCTCTACTCTAAGTTGTTTTGGATAAATACAATGTTCTTACAGCAACTTTAACTAACATGCCCCCTAGTGCCTTAATGAGTCATGCCAGATGATCGGCTGGTAAAATCACAGCTGCAGAACTGTTACTGAAAGGTGCAGCTGTTCCATTAATTATAAGCTGAGTCATCCTGCAGCTTCACGCTTTCCTGATCCATATACCTGTGTATATATAAGAAAGTCAGTCTCAGCGGTAAAACAATAGTTCCTTTCCTGCGATTTAATCCTTTTCCTTTTTGCTCAGTAGTGTCATTTCTTAATCTCCCATTTAATGCCCGCCGTTATTTATGAGAAGTGGAGTACCAGGACCATACAAGTGTTGGAGATGGTGGAGTATTGAGGTTATTCTGTTGCAGTGGACTTCCAGGTGTATATCATCCTGAGAACCAGGGAAAAAAAAGTTTTTTAATATTGCGTTGTTCCTTGTGTTATTCCCATAGTCTCCAGGATAGATTCCACCCCCCCCC